ATTTTCTCGAAATCTACCGGTCCGAATCGGTTCAAATTTTCAGGAAATCTAAGTTTAGTGAAGCCCTTTCGAATGACACCAACCGCGATGAAATCGGTCAAGTCGTTCAAAAGTTACAAGAGGTTTACACACACACACACACATACAGACGTACGGACATCATCGTAAAAATAGTCAGGGAAGCTTCCTGTGACCTTCAAACGTCGAGATCCGATGAAAACTCGATTTTTGTAAAACGGGGTGAAAACAATAACTTCCCGATTTTTGAAAATCTGAGATTTTTAGCGGGAAGTTAAAAATATAGGTTCCGGAAAAGTAATCACCACCATATCATATACTAAAACCTTCTCCAAAACACGCTGCATCTTATGGTATAAGTATTATTCCGATCGGTTCATTAGTTTTCGCAGTATAACCGAACAAAAAAATCGGCCCTCGATTTATTAGTATAGATAAATAAAAAAAATATCAAAAAATTAAAAACGTTGGCTAACTCTATAAAAAATCAAAACGAATTCATCAATCCATGCTCAATTGCCGCTAGGCACCCACAATCCTCTTTTCGAAATAACAATGCGCACGCTCCAGAGGGATGAAGGCGTTCCACTATTCTCATACTGTCACACTGTCATCCAATCTATCTATCACCCTGTCTAGGACATTTCTCTCCCAATATACTCATAGTTCCAGGTCTTCCTTTCTATAAACTAAAAATCCACCCTACGGTGCATAGTAGTGTACAGTGCTCCAGATACAATAAACCTTTACTCATACATACTTGGATTACGTCTACCTAGCACGTGTTGGTGGGGACCACCGCGATACTACCATGTACACACTCTAGAGCATCCCTACCCCCAATACTAGCTTCTTCCCTCTTACACCTACCACACGCCGCTGCCGGCTGCCGGCTGGCAACTTCATTCACGTTTTCGTCGATCGGCATTCACTCGCGAGCCTCAACACCGTGAGGTCTATCTTTCACCGCAGGTGGATTGTGCATCAGTGTAACATCAACACCAATAGGTAGATAGCTATCTTATCTTATCTGCCTATTAACATAATTATTTAATTAATCATTTTTACACAATCCATGTGTGTTGTTAAAAAAATTAAAATTATAAAATAAAATAACAAAATAATTCGACTGTCAACGGAGTAATTTTCCAAGACAGCGGCAATTACCCAGTGAAAGACAGTAGAACAATTAAGTGACTTATAAAAACGGTACTTATTTACCCAACTATCGTCTTCTCATAATATAATTCAGAAGATATATTAACCACACAACGTTGTACTGTGGAAAGTTCTACACGCTCCGTTTCACGTCGTAGGCTTATAGTTACGCCCGTGTCCTCTTCCTTACAATTAATTCTTTGGATGTTTTTTTTTTTTTTTACATTTTATAAAAAATTAAATTATTTATTATTCAACATTCTCATATCAGACATATCAATTTTAATGCAGCCAAGGAATAGAAATAACTCGCGAGTTTTCCGCGACGTCTAGACGTTTGCCGGCTACTTTAACTTGTTAGACGGGCAGTTATAGTTAATAAAATAAATCCTCATTTTACAGTACTGTAGGTTAATAAGAAATGCAGTTACATTATTTATCCGACTAGTGGCTTAAACATTTAGCATAATTGTGTTTTTGCGGTTAAATTTAAGTGCCGAGTGTTATTAGAATTGTTAGATTGTTATTGTTGTAAGACAATGGAAGTCAACATGCTACTTGTTTTACTACTCTTCAACTTTGTCTTCTCTGCGCAGAGTAAGTTATTTTTTTTTTTTTTTTTTATTTAATGTTAGATTAGTTTATTTATTTTTGGGAGACTGAATGGAAGTGTTTGTCTTATTGGTGATGTAATGAACAATGGAGCGTGATTTACAACATATTGCGTAAGAAAATTTTAGAATTTGCATATTTGTTTGGTGATTTTGAGAGAATATTTTAATTAATTGTGAAATAACTCCATTAAGCTCCTAATTTTTTTAAATAAATA